CATCATCACAAATGATATCTTCATCAATTAATAATGATGTAGATGTTTTCATTGACGAATCTATTAAAGAATTCTCATTCATACTAGCTTGTAAACATATTTTAGATGATTTAAAAAACTAGCTGATTGTATCGAGATGTTATTGACATTGTATTTTGCACTGCTGTTCTGTGTAACAAGTTTACGTTTTATAGATACCATTTTCTTGATGACATTAGCACCGATCATTTTCTATCTCAACATTTTTCTTATTGAATCATGCTCATGTACATCTTCCGATGCATCTGAACGGTGGTTGTTCTTAATATACAAGTGATACACTGATTAAATAAAATGAAAAATTGACAAGAACATACTTGATGTGGATACAAATGAAAAAGAAATATGCACAAATAATGAAGCTGGGGAAACGATTAGAATAAGAAATAGAGGATGAAGTTTGAAATGACATTAAATGTTGTACTAGCATAGCTATTTATTGTGTTCGACACAAACATCATTGTCAAAGTTCTACACAATAGTCAGTAGTACAACAAGAACAAAATAGTTTGTTGCTGAGAAATCGAATTTTTAGTGAATTTTTCTTGCAAGACCCAAGTTTTCAAGTATAACTATACTTATGAATTCTTGCTCGAACCTATACCTACACAAAAGCCTCGTTTAGAATAACTTTCAGAAAAAACTTCAGTCTTTTTTTGCGATGCTTCTTCGAGATATTAATTTGTCAAAAAATTCTGAAATTTTTCATGCAAGCAATTCTGAAGCAGATCTTTTTGTTGGCATAGTTTTAGCCCGAAATTCAAAAATTATGATTTTTTTGAAAACTTGGGTCTTCCGCGAGGAGTTCACTAAAAATTCGATATCTCAGCAGCAAAGGCCTAGCAGCAAGAATCATCTGAGGGTATTTACCTACTCACTAGATCCTATTGATTGAACATAGTCACAGATTAACAGTGATGTGACACTTGGAGACACTTCCTTGTGAGACGGCAACGTAGACGACACTCGAAGGGAGGGAATAACAAAAACCGATACTGGAGCCGAAATCCAAGAGGCAAAGTGATATTGGCAGTGAGATCCGAAATGAATGCAGGTCCTCAACTGAGAGCGGGATCGCAGCTGTGATTTGAGCTTGGTTCAATGCCACTTTTAAGAATAACTGTTCTTACTCATCTGTAAAAAGGACGTTTGAAGTTTTGATTGACCTGGATCATACCAAGAGGGAAAGTGCAGGTTCCTAGCATCAACTTTGCTGTATGATGCTGATGTCCTAAGAAGGTGCTGAGAAGATGCCGGACGGTTACTGAGGTATTAATAGATTTTAAAAAATATTATACGCTTAACTGCTAATATTGTGATGGACTAACGGCGGTCTCTATTATATTCACTTCTGCATCAAATCTTAATGAACGTTCTTTGTATCAAATCAGATATTTATCCATTTCAATATACTTTTTAATTCAACTTTACTCAAAAAGAAACTCATGGCCACGTTCTTCTTGTAGCATAAAGAAGAGAATTTGAGTAAAAGACTAAATAAAAATCTTTATAAACGTATCTTGCCTGACAACCTTAACTCTTTAAAAATTAGAATGTATCGATCGTTCGCAGAAAAATTGAAAGAATACTTACATGTGATGGTTTTCTGTAACAGATTTATCTTCAACCGAATAACACATATGAATGTATTTTATCGGATGCTATTATTTATTTCGATGCTGATTGATGATCTGTATATATTTTTGACGATGAATCCATTTATTTAGGATAAATATTTAATTTCTCATGTCATTAATAATTCCTAAAAAACAAACCAGCAATAGTCTATCAGATGATGTTTTCAGTTATAATCAAGATAAATTTTATGAATTCGTTGAACCTTGGTATGGTAATGATCTTGCACAATTATTTAGATGTGAGGCGATTCGAAATGGATCGCACCTTTTAAACACCCCAGTTGATGATATTTTATTGGTATTACAACATGAGTCCGAGGATATCAACAAATTAAAAAACTTATGTTGCTTTCAACTCGCCGATAATCAGTTCGAAGTCAGATTGGGTGTTACACTTGCAATTAATAATTTGATCCAGTTATTGAATATCAAACAAGAACAAGAAAAAAAAGGAACGATCTTTAGGTCAACGTTCATCATCCAGTATTGATACATCAATATCTATTAATCAAACACAATCACAAAATGAAACAATTCTACCATCAGCAGCATCATTCACCTCGTCGAGCAGCGGTACAAATCCAACACGGTCAAGATTAACACCTATACAGAACAAAATGAATGAAAGCGATCATATATTTGATATTAAACATTGAATCAGTAATTGATGGAATGGAATTAATAATAATAATTCATCCTT